CCTTTCCAAGTTTCCATCTGAGCAGTGATCTCACTGCACTTTCTCAGAGAACATCAACAAAGAACATTTTGCCCAGCTTGCAGATAAAGAGACTGAGGGTCACAGAGGCTGAGACTGGCCCAATATCATCCAACGGGACTGAGTCAGGAACAAAGATGGAACCCAGGACCCTTGACTGCCAGGGCAGGCACTCTGAAAAGGCAAGACCCAGGGCATGAGAAGACGGGCAGGACAGGAAGTGCTGCCCCAGCCCAGCCAGCCGGGGACAAGGACTCAGAGCCCATACATGCAGAGGCATCCCACGACACAGCCCCTCAACAGACTTCCCCATGGGCCCCATCTCTCCTCTTTTTACCTCTTACCATTCCTGACTTGCAAGGGAGCCAGGTGGAGTGTCCTAGAGCCAGCACAGGTCTGTGGCTGCATCTACTCTCAGCATGTCTTGGACTCCTGACCAAGTGGCTGGCTGATAGAAGAGAGTTCAGGGGGCTCAGAGCCCAAAGGAGGAAAGCAGACAGACCCAGCGGCCTCTAGGAGAGCCGCGCAGGACCTTGCCTCTTTCTCCTTCCCAAATCTGTCCCTCTGTGTAAGTCCCCCATCCGGACATGGGTCTGGAACATTGCCACACACACGTGGCCCCCAGGGTGCTGATGGTGACTGCCTTGTAAGTGTGGCTGTGTTCTAGAGCCCGTGTCTGAATCTTCCAGGCGAAGGTTTGTGTCTGTGACCCAGGCTTTGCAGAAAGAGCACTCAGGGCTGCAGTGTGTGTAGTTGCCCTTCATCCCTGCAGAGTCTCCCTCCCACCCTGCCCCCCACAGCCCCTCCAGCTCAGAGACCCCCCACAGTGAGGGCCCCATCTGCTGGAGGCTCGGTGACCTGTGTCAAATGAGCAGGCGCTCGGTCACACTCCAGAGCCCGGAGGAGGCCGCTCTGCTCTGGGAAAGTCCAAGCAGCTCCTGCCCGGGGCGGGCTGGGCTGGGGCCCCACTGGGGAGGGAGGCCCAGGAGCTCTGAGACCGGCAGCCTGGCTGGGAGCTGCCCTCCACAGACAAGGAGAGTGGAGAAAATAGGAGAAGAAAGGGCTTCCCTGCTTCCTCCGGACTAGCGCTGCCACCAAACCATGTGGAGCAAACTCTGGGCCGGACACAGGCCCTTCCCCAGCTTTCTGATCCCTCTGGGGGATCTGTTAGCTCCTACAGGGTGTGGGTGCCTGTGTGTCTGCGTGGTGTGTGCATCGGCTGGCTCTGCGTGCTCATGGATGTGAATATGAAGGTGTGCCTATCTGTGTGACCAGGCATGCCAGCTGAGCGTCCCCATGTCTGTGACTCCAAGGGCCTGTAGGTCTTGGGTCCCTCTCTGTCACTGAAGGAATACCCAGTTGAGCCTATTTCAGCCTATGTGTGAGTTCCGTGTATGTCCCTATGCAGGCACACGCCTGTATTTATCATGGGGTGTTGCTTTGGGTGCCTATGAACTTTTGGCCTAATGATGCCAGTCCATGTGTTCCTGCTGTGTATCTGTGTGTGTGGCCCTGTGCTAAACTGCATGTTTGTATCTATGTGTCATATGTGTGGATGTGTGTGAATGTACACAGTTTGCGTGCCCACACCATTCTGTGTCTGCATGGGTCAGGTGGGCCTGACTTTCTTGTCTACACCTGTGGCTATGTGTGGTGGGTCCAAGGACAAGTTCTCCGCAGGGTCCGTGAAGGTGGAGTTCCTGGAGAAAGGGGCTGTTCAGCTGCAGGTGTCTCTGCCAGTGGCCATGTCACAGCCCCCAGAGTCCCACACAGAATCTCCAGCAATAAGAATAAGGAGGATGTCCAGACTTCCTGGGGGAAACTTAACTCTAAACACAAGAAAATGGTGACTCACGACCAAACCTATGTCCTTATAGAGGGTCAAAAATTTCCAAAGCAGAGAAAGGAATTTTATCTTCCCTAGTTCATACTCATGGAACATTTAAAGGGCACCAAAATCACATGCTTTCTTTCATCCTTGGAGCCTCAGAGCAATCCTGAGAAGCAGGCATTACTGTCCTCATTTTAAGATGAAGAAAGTGAAGCTCTAGGAGCAAATATAACGAGACAAAGTCATAGGACTACCGCAGGTGGAGATGGGATTAGGACTCTGGTTTATCAGGTGACAAGCTGGTAACCTAGGAGCCTGGCTACTGCTTTGCTGCAGGTGCTGTTTAATTCAGTGCAGACCTGGAAACATAGCTTTGGGAGCCCCCACAGGCCCTGGCCTGCCCCTAAGAGCTACCAGAAACAGGACCATGGGCTCTCTTTGCTGTGACAGCCAGCTGTGACTGCCTCCACAGGCACCCCTCCATCCCACAGCAATGGGGACAGTGATGAGGAGTGGGAACTCACAGGTCCTGCGCCCTTGGACAAGTCTCAGTTCCCTGAGCTACACAGTGAGGATGACAGTCTCAGTGCTCTCTCACAGGGCTGAGAGGCACAGGTAAAATGATGAATGTAAAAGCATTTTGCAAAACACCACGCCTGTTGGTCATTATTCTTCAAGCCTCAGTGGCAATTTCAAAGGCTAGACATCACAATACCTATCTGCTGTCCAGACATTCCTCTCTCTCTCTCTAATGGTAACAGGGACAGATTCACAGAATCCCAGACCAGCAGAGCTAGAAGAGTCTGAGAGATCAACTGGTCCAAACCTCCACAATACAGATGAGGACACTGAGATTTCATCAAAGAAGGGGCATACCTTGCCACTAACTGGACAGCAACTATTGAAACAACCAGAGTAAAAGCCCTGAGAGCTTCTCGCCCCGTTGTCTCCTACCACAATCTGACCTACCTTAGTGAGACACGTGGGCTGCCTATGATACAGTTTTCCCAATTTACAGGAAGGAAAACCAAGGGCTGGAGAGACTGGACCAGAGTTACTCTTGCCCAGGAACATAGTGGCAGCTCCAGGTTAGAAGCCTAACCTTCACTGTCACACAGGCCTGATTAGGGCTGGCATGAGAGGAGACTCCACTGTGAGAATCCTAGCCTTGGTCCTACCTCTGGGACCTGGGCTGCCTCACAGTGGCCACTTTCTGGGCCAGCATCCAGCAAAGCCCAGCATCTCTAGCTGGGTTCAGAAACACGGCCCCATCACAGCTCTTACAGTGATAGTGGGACCTAAGGAGCCTGTTCAGGACAGTGGCCAATGGCCAAAGACCCTGCTCTGTCCCACTCCTTCCCTTGGGAGCTAGCCAGAGAGAAGACTGGTCCTGGGGCATTCAGGGCCCAGATGTGCACAGTCTGTGCCCAGGGTGACCCTTATCACTGTCAACTATGTTCCAGCACCCTCAGATCACCCCCAGTGCAGCTGCCACCTGAGCCCCCAGCACCTCTATTGACACATGGAGGCTTTATTCTACAGTCCTGACTTGCCTAGTAGGGCCCTAGCTAGGCTTCCAGCTCAGCTCTGTGATCTGGGACCCCAGGGCCCTGGAATCTATGAACCCATCTGAGGCAGGATCGGGTAGAGAAAAGAGGTAGGACTGGCAGCTGAACACTCCCTGGGACCCAAGCCTCAGTGTGGGGAAGAGGAGAGGCTACAGCTCATTGCCCTCAGCCTGGGGCCCCATGTGGAGTAAAGAGACACACAGGTGCTGCAGCTGAGACCCAGCTCCACTCAGGGCCCTTCAGGGAGCCCTCAGAGAGCTAGAGGGATAAGGAGGTAGTGAATTGCACGGCCCACCTTTCCAACAAGACCTCCTCAATCTCAATTCCCTTTTCAGCGGCCTCAGGCAAGTCCGAGTAAACTCCAGCCCAGGGCTCCACGCGAGGCTGGACAGCTCTCGGTCTGCATGCTAGATCTGTGAAATGCTAGAGGCCCTTCCCTGTGTCCATCCCTTTCCAATCCCTGGGTGTGACCCCAGCAATGAGCCGCCCACGCTGAAAGGAGATGGAACAAGAAGGCTGTGGCACCGCGGGGCAGGTACTCCTGGGCCCAATGTCCATCTCCCCAACGCCCCGACCCCCGCCCGCAACGTTCTCCCCGGAGCCACAGCCACCACCTCGACGTCCTCCGCTTCAGGAACCTGGAACGCGGCCGGGTTGCAGGAGCTCGCGCATCCCGGTGGAACCGCTGCCGCCCGCCGTCCTGGCCCGAGGCGCCCGCGCGGTACTCACCTGGGCCGCGGTGCCGGGAGAAGGGGCGCCCGCGCAGGGCGTGAAGCCCGAGTCGGGCCGACTGCCCGCGCCAGACGCGCTCTCAGGGCGGCACAGGGCGGCTGAGTTGCGACGCTGGGACTAGATGGAGAAGAGGGACAACCGGGGCAGGCCGCGCAGCCAGGCAGAGGAGCGCTCTGTGCATGCTGGAAGCCGCGGGAGGCGAGGAGGCCGAGGGGAGCAGCCGCACCGGCATCTAGCCGGGAATCGGCGCTGCCTCCGGCTCACAGCCGCCGGGACCCGCGGGAATCCTGGCCCGCCCGCAGCGGCTCTGTGGAGGAACGAGCGCCGGGCTGAGCCTCTTCCCGGAGCCCGAGCGCCTCCCGGAGCCCGCAATCCTCGCCGCCGCCTCTGGCCGCCCCGGCGGGATGCGGGCGGGAATTCAGCTCGCGTGGAATGTGGGACCGGCCGGGCTCCGAGTCTCCAGCGCTGGGGAAAGCGGGGCCCACGCAACCAGGACCGAGAGGGGGTGCGGTCCCAGTGCCACCCCCGCGCCACTCCCCACGTGGCGGCCGCGCCCCGGGGGCGTGAGTGTGTACGCGGACGGTAGGGGGGCCGTGAATGAAGCCCCAGCGGCCAATCAGCACGGCCGGCGCGCGGGACCCCAGGAGCGAGGCCCAATGGCGAGCTCTGGGCGGCCGGGCCGGGCGACGGGCGGGCGCGGGGGGCGGGGGCCGGGGCCGAGGGGGGCGGGAGGCGGCTCCGCGGGCAGCCAATGGGCGGCGGGTGGGGTGGGGCTCCGGAGAGCCGAGCGGGTCGGGGCTTTAAGCCGGCGGAGCGCGGCGGCGGGGCCCGCAGACGGAGCGGAGCGGCGGCGGCGGCGCGGTGCTGGGCGCGGGGCGGCATGGCCACCACCGCGCAGTACCTGCCGCGGGGCCCCGGAGGCGGAGCCGGGGGCACCGGGCCGCTAATGCACCCGGACGCCGCGGCAGCGGCAGCGGCGGCGGCGGCCGCCGAGCGGCTGCACGCAGGGGCCGCGTACCGCGAAGTGCAGAAGCTGATGCACCACGAGTGGCTGGGCGCGGGCGCGGGCCACCCCGTGGGCCTAGCGCACCCCCAGTGGCTACCCACGGCAGGAGGCGGCGGCAGTGACTGGGCCGGCGGCCCGCACCTGGAACACGGCAAGGCGGGCGGCGGCGGCACCGGCCGAGCCGACGACGGCGGAGGAGGAGGTTTCCACGCGCGCCTGGTGCACCAGGGGGCGGCCCACGCGGGCGCGGCATGGGCGCAGGGAGGCACAGCGCACCACTTGGGCCCAGCGATGTCGCCGTCGCCCGGAGCTGGCGGGGGCCATCAGCCCCAGCCGCTCGGGCTGTACGCGCAGGCGGCCTACCCGGGGGGCGGCGGCGGCGGCCTGGCCGGGATGCTGGCGGCGGGTGGCGGCGGCGCGGGGCCGGGCCTGCACCACGCGCTGCACGAGGACGGCCACGAGGCGCAGCTGGAGCCGTCGCCGCCGCCGCATCTGGGCGCCCACGGACACGCACACGGACACGCACACGCGGGCGGCCTGCACGCGGCGGCGGCGCACCTGCACCCGGGCGCGGGCGGCGGCGGCTCGTCGGTGGGCGAGCACTCGGACGAGGATGCGCCCAGCTCAGACGACCTGGAGCAGTTCGCCAAGCAGTTCAAGCAGCGGCGCATCAAGCTGGGCTTCACGCAGGCCGACGTGGGGCTGGCCCTGGGCACACTCTACGGTAACGTGTTCTCGCAGACCACCATCTGCCGATTCGAGGCCCTGCAGCTGAGCTTCAAGAACATGTGCAAGCTGAAGCCGCTGCTCAACAAGTGGCTGGAGGAGACCGACTCGTCTAGCGGCAGCCCCACCAACCTGGACAAGATCGCGGCGCAGGGCCGCAAGCGCAAGAAGCGCACGTCCATTGAGGTAGGGGTCAAAGGCGCGCTGGAGAGCCACTTTCTCAAGTGCCCCAAGCCCTCAGCGCACGAGATCACCGGCTTGGCCGACAGCCTGCAGCTGGAGAAGGAGGTGGTGCGCGTCTGGTTCTGCAACCGGCGGCAGAAGGAGAAGCGCATGACCCCTGCGGCTGGCGCGGGCCACCCACCCATGGACGACGTATACGCGCCTGGGGAGCTGGGGCCGGGTGGGGGCGGTGCGTCGCCGCCCTCGGCGCCCCCGCCGCCCCCGCCGGCCGCGCTGCACCACCACCATCACCACACACTGCCCGGCTCGGTGCAGTGACCCTGCGGGCTGGGCCCCCGCCGGCGCGCAGCAGGGCGCGGGCGCGCAGCCCGCCCGCGCGGCCTGGACTCTTTTTGTTCGGTTGCTTTGGATTTTACAAAAAGCCCAGAAACTTTCGAACAAAACCAAACACCCGGACGACCCTCTTCGGTGATCGGCGAAGACGGCTTATAGGCTGTGTCGCCCAAGCCCCAGGAGAGAGGAGCGAAGATCCGGAACTCGCCAACTCACCCCGGGCATCCCGCCCGCCGCCTGCTCTCTGCCCCCATCCCCTCGACGACCCCCGCCCCTGCCCCTCGGGCTGTTCGGGGCCGGATCCCGGCAGCGGCCTCCCCACAGCGACAGGTAACGCGGTGCGGGGTGAGGGGTTCCCCGGGAGAGAGGACGAAAAGAGGAGAGTTCCCCAATCCCCTCTCCCCGCGTGGACTCCCGAGCCTGCGGGTCAAGGGTTGGGGGCTGACACTCTATTCGCTCCACGCCTCTCCTCTCCTATAAGGATGCGCCCCACCCCACTTTCCCCTTTCTCCGGGCTTGGTTTTTTACGGTTTTTATTTATTCGTGGAGCCTCTCGGCTCCTGGGGTCCTTCTAACTCCGCCCGCGCCCTTAATTTAAATCGCTGTATACTGTATTTATCGGGGCCCTGGAGGGGAGGTCGCGAGAGCCGCGTCTGTGTATAAAAGCAGGAAATAGCCAAAGCTTTAATCTAGCCTAATTTATTTTTTCCCCTTATCTTCCCCTCCCCTCCCCAAGAAAAAAAAAAAAAAAAAAAAAACTAACAAAAAAAAAATCGAGTGTTCATTTTTCGTTTCGTTTCATCCGAGCCCGGGCTTGGTTCCCGGCCACGCCGGAGGGGTCTGCGCTCCCACACACACCCAGATGGGAAGGGGCTTCTGCCCGCTGCAGACTGACCGCCAAACCGCGGGGCCCCTACTCCCGCGGGGCCCTGCCCTCCTGGCCGTAACAAACGAAACTTGGAAAAGTTGGAGATATTTTTTAACCAGCTGTAGAAATAAGCCCTTCCCTGAGAACCTTCTGCCTGACTCCCTGCGGCTTCCCTCTGCTCCCTTTTCCAGCCCCCGAGGATGCGGGACGCTGGGGGAGGCCGGGAGAAAAATCCCCCAAGTTCGGGGTGAGGTGGGAACCATGTAAATATGTGAGATATGTACACACTGGTGGGGAGAAGAAACATTTTGTGCTTGGTTTTTATTTTTGGTTTTCCGAGTTGCCCTTCCTCCCCTCCTAAAGGATTTTGTACACCGACTAATCCGAAAAAGATATTTTAATATGATTTACGGATTTCTGACCCATCTCTATTTATTTTCTGGATGTGTTTGGAGCTTCCCCCCTTCTCCATTTCTTCTTCTGTTTGTTATGGTATGAATTTAAATTTTGTTATTTTATTTTTTATTATTTTTTGAAACAATGTTTTGGTGCATTCTCTTTGTATCTTTATTGCAAAAAAAAATAATGTAGACTGGGAAGTTCCCTTTATATTTATGTTATAGTAAATATTTTATTACTCACATAAACATGTACCCCAGGGCTGTGTCCTGTCCTCTTTACTGCTAGGGCTGGGTCGCAATTCGGGGGAAGTGATGGGATACCCTGCCTCACCTCCCTAAAGTTCGGTTCTGGCCTCACTAAGAGAGATCTCAGAGGAAGGTGACCACGCAGACTTTCTTCCAGGCCAGTATCAGGACTTGGGCAACAGCTGGGCCCCTGCTTCAGGTGTGTCAGTTTAGGGAGGAGGAAGCTGCCAAGTGCCCCCCCCCAGACTCTTCTGAGATCAGACCAGGGCCCGGGACAGTGAACCACAGATACCACATGGAATTTGGGTCAGCCATTCCTCAAGCACAACTCAACTGCTCTTCTCAGCCAAGGAAGAAGCCCGTCTCGGCCTGGATCGCCAGCCCGGAATCTCTATAATCCCATACCTGACACACTGACCCCCAACTTTGATTTCACTTTGTATTTCATATGTGGAGTCCAGGCCAACTTCACCATCCCAGGTCCTGGGCAGCTGGAAGCCTGGTCAGGCCCCATCATCCTACCCAACTGGCTCTCCACCTGCAATCCAAACCCTCCTGGATCCACAGGGAGGTCTAACAGCTTAGAGATCCATTTAGTGGTCCCGAATGAGCTGAGTCAGCCTGGGGAGGGAGCCCTGCCGATTTGCTGGGGCAAAACCAGTCCCACTTCTCTGCAAACAAACTACCTGTCCCAACTTCTGGGGAGAAGTAAGGGCAGAAACAATTGTGCCACCGGAAAGATTTGACATTTCCAATCCAGGGGTGGGTGCCCAAGACCCCACCACCCCAGAGAGCGATGCCTGTGGGAGGGGGGAGGAAAGGCACAGGTATCCTCAGCCGCTCCTCTCTCCAGCCTTCAGCAGTGACATCCCCTCCGAGAGTCAAGCTGGCAGGGAACAAGTCCAAAGCCCAAGACTACCTGCGTCCCAGGCAAGATCTTATATTTTCTTTTAAAAAACTGTTCTTAAAAATACTAATAAAAGAGCTGTTCCTGTTTCCTCCGTAGACGAGGTTCTTTTCGCTTCTCAGGAGAAACCACACAAGTTTTCTCACTCTTCGTGGAGCCAGAGCTTGAAGGCACAATCTTTAGGCCAGGGAAAAGTCCCTAGTGAGGGGGTACGTGGAGCCTCTCCTGCCAGAGAAGCTGCCCAAGTCCAGGCCTGCGGGAGGCCTTGGCTCTAGCCGACGGCATTAGGGATACCCACAGAGGTGTTCCTAGACCCCGAAGTTGGTGGTCTCTGGCAGGGCTGGGGGCCTCCGGATGACTGTGACATACTGAGAGTTCCTGGTGACTTTCAGAGCTCTGCCCCTCAGTCTTGGGGGGAATTGTCTCTGCAAGTATGAAAGCTGCCTCGGGTTCCAAAGGTTCAGCCTCTCCCTCCCTGCCTTTTTTTTTTTTTTTTAATTTCCTCTCCAGTACAGCCTAGTAAGTGAAAAGCCCTATAATTGGCACCGGTGTCCCAGCCGTTCCACATGCTGGTGGGCCACTTACCCTTTTTGCGCTTCCTAAGGAGGCCGGGAACTTACTAGACAGCAGGGTGATGGCACGGCCACCGGGAGCAGCTGGCAACCCTGCCTCAGCCCCTCGTTTGTTTCCTGTTCCATTAAGTACAAAACTTCCAAGCCGTCCCACACTCCTCCCTACTCCCTCCTTATTTCTCCATTCCTGGATTTGTCCCAGCCTCAGGGGGGCCCTGAAATGGAAGCAAATGAAGCTCAGAGCTTCCCGCTGCCTGCACAGCCCAGAGCCTCAGCAGGTTTTGAGGTTGGAAAGGGCCACCGGGAAGATGGGGCCTTTCACTGGCCTCTGCCTGCAGCTGACACCAATTGATTGATTGATTTCCTAATTGTCTGCTTAATCCTCTACAAGAGGGTGGGTTTATTATTTAAGCAAGTCAACTCAAAAACAACAAAACAATGCAGCCTCCCAAGAACCAGCAGCAGCTGAAGAGTGGAACAAAAAAAAAAAAAAATAGGGGGAAAAAAGTGTAAAAAGGGATGGAAGAAAATCACTTTGCAAGGATTTTGCTTAATGAGACACCAGCCTGGGATAGCTACCCAGTGATCAACCCCTTGGTCGCAGAAGGCCCCAGAACTCCTTCCCCCCTAGACTCCAGCCTGGGATGATGGTAGGAACCCCCGCTTATTTGACTTTATAAGGAAAAAACCATAAGGAGAGAAATATTTTTCCCTAGAGTCTCACCCCTAGATAGAATAGAGTTTAGGAAAGGCACAGTCAACTGTGGGCTTAACTGCAGCTTCTCCGTCCCATGTGTATGTGTCTACCCGCTTGCTCCTGAGAGCGTTCGACTTGCTTTCATTTAAGAGAGGCTTGTGTCCCTAGCATCAACCTCTGAGGACATCCAAGCTTTCCCTAGAAAATTTGGAATTTTCTGATCCCATCTCCCTCCCTTTCTCACTTGAACAAAATTATTTTCTGTGATCATGTGGCCACAGATTTCGGTAGTTAAAATTTCTCTCTCCCCATGTGAACGTCTCTGCATGTTGGTGTAAGAATTGGAGTGTGTGCCATTGTGTGTGCAAATCCATAGCCGATCCCAGAGGTAGGAGGGGGAAAAGAAAATCCATGCTACACTGTTAATGCTTTGAGCTGGAAGAACATTTTCTGGGTGGAGTTTGGCCAATAGTGGAAGGAAAGAAGGTGGCCATCGTGGTCACCTGTGGTCATCAAGGCAAACCCAGAAGGTAACCTGAACTGAGCCCCAAGAACGTCTATATTCTCCCCTACCTCCTGCCCTGGAAGGTTGCACTAGCTTATATAATACTGCACTAGCTTATAATATAACTTAACCGTTGCACAGTTTAGGTCCTGTGCAATAAGCCCTGGACCTCTAGGACGTGACTGGATGTCAACAGGACTAGTTGACCCCCAACCACAGCTCCCACTTAGAATTATTTGAAACTCAGCCTCCCCTAGAGAGGCTCTGGGCCTCTAATGACACACCCAGGGCCAGGCTGTCTCCTTCCCTGGGACTTTCCCCAGCAGGGCTTCAGCTCCAGAAAGGGACCCACTGAAACAGGGGGTAGAGTGAGAGGAGGTTGGTTATCTGGACCAGCTGCTCCCCCTAACCTTAGCCAGGAGGATCTACCCAGGGCCTCTGGCTTAGTGGCTGAGGCCAGAGGCAGCTAGAGGAGCCTGCATGTCTTATTAGAAAACACTGGAGTTCAAATGGTGTTTGGCCATTCAGGGCTCCCCTTGCTGCCTCTGAGGCCTCTGTGTGTGAGGACTGTCTTCTATTGGTCCCAGAGTGGGGACATGGCAGCAGTCTCCAAAGCCACCTTGAAGATAAGTGTGCACCCCAAAAGTCAGCTTTAACTTGGCTACCCTACAGGGGCTGCCAACTACAGCAGAAGCCACTTTAGACCCCAAAGGAAGCAAACCTTCTCTCTCTCCCTCTCTTTCACACTTATACACACAACTGCCCACAACCCTTCCCTCTCATTTACAGCCGCCCTCAGAAACCTGCCATCCTCCACCGCCTCTTCTGTCTCTCCCCACTCTTCGCCCCCATCCCTCCTCCTCTCAGCCAGTTAAAACCCCAGTGCAGGCTCCAACGGCCTTGCTCACTCACACACATGCTAACACACCTATGGGCACATCCACGCCACTATGCGGGCTGTCCAAGACCAGCTTCCTGATCTTTGGCACTGAGCTCTTGGGAGTCCCCTGGTCCCTGGCACCTGTAATATTTGATTAAGCACACACAATCATCCTTTGCAGCATTTGACACCAGGTCCCCTTCTCTCAGGATTTCCAAGCACTTACCCCCAAACCACTTTCCAAACACATCCCTGCCCGTCATTTTCCCAGCTCCTCCCAGATCTCTTCCTGCTCCTTTCAGATAATTAAAGTTAGGCTGTGTGTTTGTATGTATGTGTGATCTTATTTTTTAAACACACACCCCCACACATACATATGCGTGTATATATACAAACACACAGCAATTAGATCTATCCGTTCCTGCCGTCGTCCTTCTTGTGCAGCAAAACCTCAGCAATGCATATGCCCCCACGTCGCCACACGATGAACCCAGCGTCACCTCGTCACGGGCTCGTTGTCACACACACACACAGGCACACACACATACAGTGGCACTTTCGCACAGTTACACCCAACCCCTAGCTCCCTGGTCTTTCTCCAAGGGCGTGACCCACCTCCCACGACCCTCCTCCCTCCCGGGCATCTGAGTGGGCTCTCCCCAGATGACCTACGTACCAGGAGGGCTCTGCTCCAGTCCCTCCCACCACGCACACACACACACCGGTGGACACGTCTCCCGCTGAGCCTGACCAGGGTGGGTCTGGGTATTATTAGGCTGCAGAGACAGCACGGAGGCATATGGTCTCGTACACAAGAAATAATGTTCATGTTAAATCAGACCTCATGCATAATGCATGGTGCCTGATCTCACATTATTTTGGGTGTTCGTCAAAATCAGTGTTCTTTCTTGTGAGGGCTCCTGAAAAGAAGGGAGAAAGGCATTTGCTAATTACACCCACAGCCTGGACCCGGAGAGCCGGCAGCACCACGGGAGCCTCCCTCTGGCCCCACTTCACCGCCGGTGGGTCTCTTCCCTCTGCCCCACTTTGTCTTCCCGCTTGGAAGGAGGGGCTGCCTTACGTTTGTGGCAGGCGTAAGGCCCCGTGTTATTTTTATTTCTTTTCTCTCGGCTCTCTGTCCCCGGAGGGTTCTGGGGAATAGCAGTGGCTCTGTCGCTCTCACACCCGATTCATTTGCCGTTTTATGAACTCCCCATTGATTCATCGCCTCCCTAAGTCAATGATTCACTCCTGATGGCTTTTCAGAAATCCTTCTTCAAAGGCGCCAGATTATTCTGCTCTGAACAGGAGCAGGAGCCGGAACAGACCTGGACTCCGCCTTGCTACTGCTTGTGGCCTGACATGAGATCTTGTCCCCATCCTTGGGCTTTCCCTGGAGCTGAGCCAGCCTGAGGAGGGGGCAGTGCCCCCGCCACAAGAAGCTGGTAGAGCTGACCCAAGCAGCTCCGGGACAGACCGAGCCCATGGTGAGGCCTCCTCCAGCCTGTGTGGGTCACCTGTCTTCTCCCATTGTCATCAAAGTCCCCCCAGAAGCTCTCTGTGCCTCAGAGGTGGCAAAGAGCAGAATGGTGAAGGCACCTGGGTACAAACCCTGACTCCACCCCTTATCAGTTATGTGACTTTACGCCAACTGCCTCAGTTTCCTGGTATGGTGACAATGGCAGTTCCCGTATCATAGAGCTATTTTGAGGATTAAGTGGGATAATGTACATACAGTGTTCAGCATAAGTGATGAATGAATGAAAGCTGTCTTATTGTGAGGTCTGGGCAGGACACTGCGGAAGCAAGTGGACAGGGAAGAAAGCCATAATGTGACGAACCCGCTCTGGACCCACTCTGTCCAAGGCACTCTGGCATACCTACCCATCACTTACTCTGTGCTTTATTTTCACTATCTCACATAATTATCCCTATTTTACAGATGAGGAAAGTGGTGCCCAGAGAGTGTCAGTGACCTGTCCAAGGCAGCAAGACTAGCTAATGACAGATGCTGGGATAAAACTCACTTTGTCTGGGTCCTGGGTCCATGTTCTTTTTACACCCCCTACTGGTGCAAACAGTGGTATTTGCCCAAGGCTGGGGATGTTCCAGAGCTCAGGACAGGGCCAGGGAGAGAAGCTGGGGAACAAGCATGTTGGAGCTCACTGGCTAGAAGCTGCCCCCTTCTCCACCACCCTGAAGCTCAAAGCAAGTGGGTAACTAGCCTAGGATCACCAAGACAGTTAAGCCCTCCTGATCAGCCCATTACAGGCTACTATGTGCTGAGCAGCCACATGTAGCAGCTAAGAATGCAGACCCTGGCTGGGCACGGTGGCTCATGCTTGCAATCCCAGCACTTTAGGAGACCGAGGTGGGAGGATCACTTGAGGCCAGGTGTTTGAGACCAGCCTGGGCAATACAGCAAGACCCTGTCTTTGAAAAAAATTAAAAAACAAGCCAGGTTTGGTGGTACACACCTGTAGTCCTAGCTACTCAGGAGGCTGAGGCAGGAGGATTACTTGAGCCTAAGAGTTCAAGGTTACAGTGAGCTGTGATCATGCCACTGCACCCTAGCCTGGGCAACATAGTGAGACATTGTCTCTAAACAAAAAAAACATGGGCCCTGGCATCTGCCCAGATGTTCATCCTAGCCGCACCACCTATCCATGGGACTTTTGGCAAGCTGCTAAGCCCTCCATACCTCAGTTTCCTCATCTGTAAATGAAGAATTGCTGTGAGGATTAGATGAGAGATGATATATATAAACACTTAGAAGAGAACCTCGCACATTATAAGTACACATTAAATGTTAGCTATAAAAAT